AGCCTCGCTATCTCCTAACCTTAGGTCTCAGTTTATGGGTCACTTCCTCAGCTTAGATTAAGACCTCCAGTTATAAAATCCTATTCCCCAATGCATGAAACAAATTCTGGTGCTGGGAAAATAGCACTGAACAAAAAGCAGAGTCCCCGCTCTTAAGCAATTTACAATCTCATTGAGGGAAACCAAGACCGTGAGCTCCATAACTTGTCAGGACCATATTTTGTGTACTGCTCTCCCTATCACAGGGCCTATCATATAGTAGGCAATAAATACCTGTCATTAAATGAGTTAAACAGTTTAATGTTTAAATGAATGTAATTACCTAATTTGCTACCATAAAAAAAAAAATTAGGTCAATCAACGATTAACTTACTAAACATTATGTAACAAAATAACAACAAAAACTAAAGAAAAGCAAGCTATTACTATATTCTTTTCTATAATATTTGAGTGCCACTATGTGCCAGGCATATTGCATCGGGCAAATCTGCTGCAAAAGGCCTCCTTAAAGTGTTAAAAAGCAAAGGTGTCATTTTGAGGACTAAAGTGTGCCTGACCCAAGTCTTGGTATTTTCAGTGGCCTCATATGCATGTGAAAGCAGGACAATGACTAAGGAAGGCCAAAGAATAATTGATACCTTTGAATTATGGTGTTGGTGAAGAACACTGAATATACCATGGACTGCCAGAAGAACAAACAAATCTTTCTGGGAAGAAGTACAGCCAGAATGCTCCTTAGAAATAAGGATGGCAGGACTTCTTCTCACATACTTCGGACATATTACCAGGAGGGACCAGTCCCTGGAGAAGGACATAATGTTTGGTAAAGTACACGGTCAGTGAAAAAGAGGAAGGCCCTCAAGGAGATGGAGTGACACAGTGGCTGCAACAGAAGGTTCAAACATATCAACGACTGTGAGGATGGTGCACGACCAGGCAGTGCTTCATCCTGTTGTACACAGGGTTGCTATGAGTCAGAACCGACTCGACGGCACCTAACAACATGTGCCAGGCATATCTAAGACTCAAGGGATTGAGCAGTGAAAAATATAACAGTGAACAAAATATAGTCCCTGTTCCCAGGAAACCTGCAGTCTAGTGGGCAAGACAAGACAAAAAAATTAATAGACACATGTTAGGTTGTTGGTAAATGACAAGAAAAAAATAAGTAGAGCAGAGTGAAGAGGCCTACTTAATTCTTTAATAATTCAGGCTCATGACCCCGTAAGTTATGGAAGACCTGTCTGAAGAAATGACATTTTAACAGAGACCTGAATAAAAAGAGGAACACAGGAGTAAACTGTGAGGGAGAGGGAACAGCAAATGTCAATGCCCTGAAACACAGCACATGTCCTTTTAAGAAGCCCAGTGTGGCGAGAGCACAGTGAGAGGGAGGAGAGGTAGGAGTTGATGTGGGTGTCAGACCTTACAGGCTATGGTGGGGTCATACAGCCTCTTATACAACCACTGGAAGGTTTCTAGAAGGGGACTTAAGGATCCTTCTGATGGACAATAAACAACAGACTCTAAGGAAACCAGTTATAAAACTAGTTACAATGGTCCAAATGAAAGCAGATGGTAGCAGTGAAGGTGGGATTTGGTATTGATTTAGGTCTGTATTATTTTGGATAAATGTTTATGTTTGGCTTTTTCTGACACTATTGTATAGGATTAAGTAAGTTTCTACTTAGGCCATCACTTTTATAATTAAGTGAGAAAGTCTAATTTCAGATCAGTGGCTTTCAATCCTGCAATCCACTAGAATCTGATATGAAGTTTTCAAACATACAGATTACTGACCCCATATGCCTAAAATTCTAAATCATAGGGACTGGGATGGGTTTTTTAATTAACTGTAGACAGTGGTGATCCTCAGATTCTCAGCTTGGATTGACAATTCTAGCTTGAAATTTTTCCACTGAAGTATGAAATATGTAAAATTAAGCAAACAGAAAATATTTACATAATTTGAGTTGTCTAATTTCAGTAATAACAATCATGAGGATGGCACAGGACCAGGCAGTGTTCCGTTCTGTTGTACACGGGGTCGCTATGAGTCGGAATCGACTCAATGGCACCTAACAAAAACAATTTCAATAAATTTATATAAAGCAAAATTAAATTTCTTCTGGGGCTAGAAAAGTTAAAATCTGTAGCAAAGTCAAAAATCATTCTAGACACAAAATCCAAAGGACGAATAACATTTTGAAACAAAAAATATTTTAGGTCTATAGTTAAGTGACTTAAAATTTAATTAATCTCCGTTAGTATACATTGCCTAAAGAGAGTGTACTATTTTGCCAATACACTGAAAGGCATTTCACAAATGTTAAGGTTGATAAGAGACAAAGTTAAACTGTTAATTCTGTATTATTTGTTACGGACATTTAGATTACATAAATAAACAAGATGCTTAACTATAAGGATACTAAAAAAGATGTAACAATTTATTTTAGGGATCCAAGAGTAAACTATAAGCCTAGTATAATCATCAGTCAGCTCTTCCTAACAAACAAAACAATAAATCTGAACATATTTCAGGTGTCTCAATTCCCATGAAAATAAAACAAAGTAAAATCAATTATAGAACAAGCAATCTGATATTCTCCATATATAGAGAGCTATCATTATAACTAGAGTACCTTAGACAGTCTTAAACAAATCATCTATTCTTTCAGAAAAATCTAATTAACCCAAAAAAATGACTTCATATTCCAAAAGAGAACCTCTTTGAGTCCTCTAAAAATAAACACTTTATCGTTCTTTATTTTGACAACTTTCTTAAAAATCAGAATGCTGAACTTCATGTGTTATTTAAATGATGTTACAAATTCTTATTTCTTCGCACAGACTGCAATATGAAATGATCTAAATGTCTGCCCAAATTTTAAGGGTTTCTGACACTGAAACCTGTCCTTTGATTCAGATACACGGCTATCAAGAAAATCTTCAGACTGCAATGATACGGAGAAACCACTGGAGGGCAGCAATAGCATATGTGTCGTAAAAAATAAAAACGTCACTTTTCCCACACAAAGTACCGTGCGTTAAAACTTCTAAATAATCCAAAAATTTATTACAGATGTATTTGAAAATAATTACCATTGCAAAATCAAACTTATTTTATTTAAAATGATCAATATTCCACACTAACAAACATAAATATAGCAAGATTCAGCAGAGCAGGCAAAACTAACAGTAGAAGTTCTCGGTTCTGACATCCCAGCGGGATAATAATGTTAAGATCCGGTTTTAACACTTTCAACACTCTCCATTCCTCATATCACTTCCCTGAGTAGCTACTATCATCACCTCCACTTTACAGATGAGAGAACCAAAACAGACGGGTACGTCACACTGGCCATAAATAATAAAACCCACCCGAACAGTCTGATTCCAAAGCCGGGAAAAGTAGACATTCAGAAAAGAGAACGTCCAGGAGGTTCTATAGCTACCCACTGGGTGAGACCGTCACCCCACAAACACCACTCAAAGGAGAGCTAAGAGTAAAACTCTAATGCAAATCATTGCATCCCAAGTATCAACGATTAAGGATACCAACTGCAAGAATCTTCCCTTCCAGCGTTTCCGGGCTGATCTGCCGGCCGGAGCACTCCAGCAGCTTCCAGAGCCCTTGGACTCCCATGTGGCAGGGGTGTCCTTAGCAGAAATCGGGAGCGGGGTCCGCAAGGGACAGGCGACCAAGGAGGAACTCCTCCGAGTGACTGCCTTTTTACGCTAATTCTTCTACAGCGCGTCGCACCACCGCCAAGGACAGCGGGAAGAGGCTTCCTGCTCCTACTCAGAAAGGATGGAAGAATGAAATAAAACAAGGAACACACAGTTTTCCAGGGGAAAGCGGCATCAACGAGAACGTAAAGAGCGGGGAGGGATACTCGCTGGAGCACTTCCCGGCGGCTGACACAGCCTCCGGAAGAGAGAAGCGACCAGAGAATGGCCAGCTTCGGGGAGAACAGGTCGTGGTCTAGCCCCGCGCTTTGGCCCGAAAGTTTGTACTTGTAATGGAAGACGGGAAAACGGGCAGCGCTGGCGAGCTGAACAATCAGATGACGGGCCTCAGCTACCGACATGTTCCTCGCGTAGGTCAATAACACGACGCCTCAACCGGGGCCTCGACTTCCATCTAATACGCAGCGCAGGACGGAAGTCACGCCCTCCCCGTGTGACGTATATATGCTGCGCCTGGAGCGCTCGGGAAGTGAGTGAATGGATGAGTTCGTCGGTTGGTATCGAGTCGGTACCTTAACCCTTTAGTTTTCTCCAGCATCAACATTGATGCTACGGCTTGAAGTCACAAATGACAAACTAATTGCCAGAGTAGGTCTTGGAGCCCTTAGACCAGGATTCAAATTCCGACCTTAACATGTTAGCATTGTTCCAGTCACATTTGTTCAGAACTTCCATTTCTGAACAAATAAAATGGGTATGAAACCAATCTAGCAGGATATTTTATTAAGGATTTGAGGTGATAAATGCAAAGCACTCGGTACTCGTAGTTACTCAAGAAACGATAGTATTACCACACACACTAGATCCAAACTTAGTGAGTTGATTTAAATGAGCATGTATTTTTTAAAAGGAATTCTTTATGAAAAAGCTATACTAAACACCAGCTTTTAGCAAAGCCATTTCTATGCCCCAACAGAAGGCTGACAGCAGCCATGTTTAGCGGACCCAGTTGCAACTATCTGTCAGGAATAATCCTGATTGTTTTCCATTTCCTCCATATGTAATGTAATCCCCAGAAATTGTTTCTAATTGTATTTTACTAATATGAATGCAATTGCTTATTCAGTTTTTATCTCCCCCACCTCCCACAGTAGATGGTAAACTTATTGAAGCCGAGGTCTTGTTGACATACATTCCCCACTCCTGACACATAGTAGGGGTTCCATAAATATCGCCTAAATGACCTCTCCCAGATTCCAGTCTAAAGCTCTCCAGTGCATCTTGCACCATGCTGAAAGAGAATTTGCTTGAAGGTCAGGCAGAGGTTAGCTCAGGTCCCATCTGGGCACATAACCCCTGTGATAGGTGAGTTTCTTCACCAATGAGAGCCTCAGTTCTCTCCAGTAAAACGGGGATGCCACCAACTTCTTAGAGCTGTTCTAAGATCAGTGATTTAACATGAAACACCTAGCAGTAATGGTGCTCAAATTAGTTTGTGATGACTAGGGAGGGGGGAACTCTACAGGTAAAACTGAGCTACAGAATGTGTTGGTTCCTGGAGCAGCCACCTGAGCCTCTCCATTGTCTGGGAAAGGCAAGATGGGAAGTACAGTTACTGCATCAGCTTGGCCTAATGATGCAGCATAGTTATTAAACAGTAATAGTAGTAGGAAAGGGAACAGTTACAAGATCTGATCTAAACTAGCTTTTTTTTTCTGCCTGAAAGCTGGGTAAAAACAAATAGCCAATGTAGGCATTTGAGTATTGTAAGTGCTTTTAAAATCAGAGCAACATTTCTTGAATACAAAATATTCTTTTGAGGGAACAGTAACTAAGGGCCGTATATTTTATTTACAAGCAATTGGCTCTTTGGGATGCTATTTAAAGGGCTCTCTGTAAAGAATCTGAGCAATAAAATACACATCTTTTGGGATAATAACAATAGCAAGCACTTAAATAGCATTTTCTACACCTGAGGCACTGTTCTCAATACTTTACATGTATTAACTTATTTATTCTTCAGAACAATTTAAGAAGCAGGTACTATTATCACCCCCATTTTACAAATAAAGAAATAAGCATAGAAAAATTAATCTTAACTTGCCAAAGGTTACACAGTTAGTAAATACAAACAAGATTTGAACCTCCATGCTTCTATGGAGATCTCTAAAAAGAGATGACCAAGAAATCAAGTCTGATAGCAATGTTACTGATCTTGAAAGAGAAGTATGCAGTAACTCTTGCTTAAAGTTTCTGGAAAAGCAACCTCTGTAAATCTCAGCCTGTCCTTAATAACTGCCAAACTTGTAAGCCAAGTTATTAAGTGATCATATATATCAAGACTTATAAAATGTGATCGTGGTCAATAAGTAGTCTGCACGAACTCATCCTCCTTTCCTTGTCGTTACCCTATTATTTTTCTTACTTTGTTTTACGCTTGTTTCCCTTCCTCTTGGCTCTTCCTGCTTACCTCTTCTCTAAAATAGTCGGTGGAACTATATGAGATTGCTGACATCTGACCATATGTTTGACCTACAAAAATGGCAACTTCATTTGAGTCAAGCGAATATAAGAATTAAATGTTCTATTTTCTATCATAAAGTCCTAGAGAAATCTAAAATTATATTCATTGTTTCACTATTGTTTCAATGATTATAAAAGACATACAGGTGGCTTCTTATAACACCTTATTTAGGCAGAACCTACAAATGACTAGGCACTTCAAACAAAATGATAAGGGTACTCCTTGCCCAAAACAAAGGTTCAAAAACATTCACATGAGTAAAAGTAGAAAACAAAACTTTATTTGATGAAAACTTTTTAAAAGTCCCAGTATGAAGTAACAAAATCAACAACCTACAAATCTCTTTCAATCCTTTGCATTTCAAGCAAAACATTCTCTTCAGAAATATGGCTGTTTCATAATATATAACACCTTCTGTAGGCTCAGCATGTGTGAGTGGATAAATGGTTATAAAATTCAAAGACGAAAAACTGAAAATATTTTAAAAATAAAATCTGAACCCTATCTTTGAGGTGTATTGCAATATGGTTACCAACATATTCAGCACCTTGTAGCAACCAAGTTACTGATTTGAGTCCTGGAACAAGCTCCTGAAATGAAAGAACAAGACAACCTAGTCTTTTGTGAGTCGTAGTTTAGCAGCGGAAGAAAAATCTACAGCAGCTAGACAGCTCAAATATACGAAATCCACATCTTCTTAAAATATAACACTCACTTTAAACAGCTAACTGTCTATATGGTTTAAAAACAGAAACGGCTCAGAGTTTGGAAATGGAATATGGACAGCTGTCCTCTGAGTGATCTGGGCATTCCTAATGCATCTTTAATGCTTTTATCACCATATGACTCCTTATCAAAGGGCCAATCAAATATGGCATCTCATTTTCCACATTACCTTGGGTATAAAAACTTCACATTCCCTTCCTCTTTTACTCTCTTAAAAAAAAAAAAAAAAAGTTTTTATTCTGGATTTACAGAAGTCTTTCAAGACCTAAAGCTCTTGTCAATATTTGATGGTAACATACCAAGTCAAGAAAGTCAAGAATATCCTGAATCAATGTACTAAGTCACCCTTTTGCACCAATAGAAAAGATCAGTTTCTTGAGTCTCTTCTCTTTTGCCTCTTAATTGAGAATCCTGAGAAAGTTAACCAGCAAATCAAATGAGTCAGGCAAGATACTGCTACAAGTAAAAGAACTACTAGACTCATTAAATAATTTTAAATGAGCTTTTACCATAAGAAAAAACTAGAAATTGACAGCCCCAACTTTTTTTGAAAAGGGCAGACGGTCCCTTAACTTCTTGACCTTAGGAGTAAAACTGTCTAAGGGATGAAATCATTTCATGCTTGAGTATTTCACATCTCGTTACTACTAAGTGAATTTGTGCTTGACTTTTTTTAGATAGCAGTCATAATTTAATTTGATTTTGTGAAACTTTTTATCCTGGTTGTCTATATTACTCTTAACTTTAAAAGGACAATAATCTATGCTTATCTGCTCATATATCTGAGATCATCCATTATAATCATATACAAGCTTATTTACTGGAGAACTACAAGATTATGTTTGTATCACAAGATCTATTCATATGTAATGCAGACCTAAGAAAATCTCCTACTATCTTAACACAGCTGTAGATACCAGTTGGACACACCAACCAGTTGTATATACCAGTTGTTCAGAAGCCAGCACAGTCAATCATAATCACTGTAACCCTGGCAGCCACTGTTCCTTCTCTCGTGGACACCAGACATCTTTTTCCACGGGGAGTCCTGATGGAAACTGGTACTTAAAGACCGGCCCAGCCGCCCACGCTGCTTCTTGGAGATACTGTCTTCACTCTCAGATCTGGCAATTCCCTGGGCAGGTGGTGGACGTTGTGGTTCTTGTCTAATGGTTCCAAATGGAAAGTTCCAAAGGCCAAATCTTTGCCAATTAAGTCTCTGGAATGCTATGATGCAATGCAAATTTCCCCCAACCTGAGAGAAAAAAAAAAAACTTGGGTGAAGAAAACGAAGGGAAATTACTTATACTAACATTCCTGTTCCTATGAACTTTCTCCCCTTCACCTGCTTCAGGATAGTACTTCACCTTTCAGACATCATCAGAGTGCATTATCCTGCATCTTTCCTGACCAGCTGCCTTTACAAAATATAACAATGCCCACAGCCACTCCTTGCAAACCCTGTGAGGCAGTTCTACTCTGTCCTATCGGGCACTATGAGTTGACAGCAATGGGTACAGGAGCCAAAACACCTTCCCCACATTCCTCTACCCCTCACACACATCTCCCCACCTGCCTAATTTAAACACCAAGACTATTCCTCGTTATCTCTCTTCTACATAATTCTCCATATATTAGTAGGGTTGTATCAATGGAGTGTCTACTCAGCCCACAGTATCTACCTTTCTCTGACGGCTCCCCCAGCAGCCTTATTTGTACCACATGACTGTGTCTCAAGGTCACAGTTAATGTGGATTGGCAGTGAACACCCAACCCAAGCTACACTAATCTTACTCATTCTCTCTCAGGACTATAGAATCAGCCTTGGGGCAGGCCAGTCTCTGTTTGGACTTTCACCTGAAAAGGAGATATAAATTGAAAGAGGATGATCTTCAGAAAGTAAATAACCAGACAAGAAGAGACAGGAATAACACGTAGCCCGCAAAAGAGTGAGGCTGACTAGCTACTTGGGCCATCGTTCCAGTATCTGGTAACAAGTCCAGGTTATTCGCCTTGCTCTTGAGCTTTAAAGATACACTTCTGTCCATAAACTGATTTTCCCTTTTCTGTTTAAGATGGTCTGCACTGGGTATGTATTATCTACAGCCTAAAGGGCACTGAGTATAATACTGCATTTCTGGTGAACAGGGAAATAAGCTCAGGTCCAATGGTGTTCTTACCTTCCTTGTTTTTCGATACTGCAGCCCCCTCTCTAAGTGCCGGATATCTAGATATTCTGGATTTTGAGTGTTTAGATCAGTAACAATATCTGCCCATCTAGAGTTAGAAGGAAAGAATAAAGCACAGTTTTAAGTCCAAATACCACTGTAATGGAACTTTTCACATGAGCAAATCACTACAATATTATCGTGGGAACAACTGACAATAATTTTCTTATCTCAAGATTGTTCCATCTAATAAATTTTAGTAAATTCATGTTTTTATGACAAATCTGTTTTTTTCAACTATTGCCAAGGTTTTCAGTTTTAAAAGGGTAGCTTTTCCTATTAAATAAGTATATGTCAACATGTTAGAGGATATTTTGCAGGCTAAAACAGAAACATTCCATATTTCCTTTTTAATCAGAATCAAGTAAATTTTTTACAGACTTAAAAGTTAACATATCTTTATTCATGGATATCACAATTGTGTAGCAAATCCAAAGGAATCACAAAACAATTACTATGACTAATATATGAATTTGGTAAAGATGCAAGATTCAAGGTCAATATAGAAAAATTAATTGTATTTTTGTACGCTATCAGCAAATAATTTTTTTCAAATCCGTTTATAATAGCATCAAAAAAAGAAAACTTTTAACAAAAGACATATAACACTCTATACTTGTATGTTTTTTGTTAAAAATATAAAACATTGCTAACAGAAACAAAAAGCCCAAATAAATGGAACTATATACCATAATCAAAGACTGGAAGAGTCAGTGTTGTTAAGATGTTAATGTTCCTCAAACTAATGTATGAATTCTATGCATTATCTTCTAATCAAAATCTCAATAGGCTTTTTAACAGAAATTGACAAGTTGTACTCTAAAATTTATACAGAAAAGCAAAAGTCCTAGAAAAGCCCTAAAACAATCTTAAAGAAGCAGCAGCAAAATTCACAGGCCTCATACTACCTAATTTCAGGACTTAGTATAAACTCTAGTAATTGAAACTATGGTATTGGTGAAAAGATGAACAAAAAGATCGGTGGAACATAAGAGAGTTCAGAAATACATCATACAGAATTAATATTTCAGCAAAGGCACCAACATGATTAATTGAGGAAAAGAAAATCTTATGAACAAATGATGCTGGAATAACTGGATAAAAACTGGGGAAAAAAGTGAAAGTTGACGTCTATGTCTCATATCATGAATAAAAATTAACTGAAATGATCATAAATCTAAACATAAAAGTGAAACCTACAAAGCTTTTAAAAGAAGACAGAAGATTATCCTTGTGATGCTGGGGTAGGCAAAAATTTCTAAAAGAGGTACAAAAGGGCAATAAACATAAAAAAGCAAAATAACTAAAACGGATTTAATAAAAATTAAGAACTTCTGTTCATCAAAAGACATCATTGAAATGAAAAAGCAAGTCACAGACTGGCAAAAAATATTGACAAAACATACATCCAATAAATACTAACAAAAAGACAACCCAGTTACACATAAAATAGGCAACACACTTGAACAAACACTTCACAAAAGAAGATGCAGAAATGACCAATAAGAGCATGAAAAGATGTTCACAGTCATTAGAGAAATGCAAATTAAAAACACAAAGAGATTCAATTTTATGCCCACTTTGTTGTTGTTTGTTAGTGCCATAGAGCCGGCTCCAACTCATAGGAACCATATGTACACTAACCCATTGCCGTCCAGTTGATTCCGACTCATAGCAACCCTATGAGACAGGGTAGGACTGCCCCAAAGGGTTTCCAAGGAGTGCTGGTGGATTCAAACTGCCAATCTTTTGGTTAGCAGTGAAGCTCTTAACCACTGCACCACCAGGGCTCCCTATGTACACCAGAAGGGATTTTCACCAACTCCCTATGTACACTAGGTGGGCTAAACTCAAAAAGAATGACAACAAATATTGGTGAAAATCTGAAGAGCACCTGGAACTCTCCTGCATCACTTGTGAGAGTATAAAAGGGTACAATCACTTTGGAGAACTCTTTGCATCTATCCTATAAATCAGCAGTTCCACTCCTAGGTATCTACCCAACAGGAACAAAACGTATGTCCTCTAAAAGACCTGTACAACAAAATGTGATATATTCGTGTAATACAACGGAAAATTATTCAGCCATATAAAGGAACGAAATTCTGAGACATGCTTCAATATGGATGAACCTTGAAAATATGCTAAGTGAAAGAAGCCAGTCACAAAGGACCACGTAGTATATGATTCCAGTTATATGAAATGTCCAGAACAGACAAATCCACAAAGATATAAAGTAGACTAGTGGCTGCCAGGTTCTGGGAGGATGGAGTTTCTTTGAGGGTGCTGAAAATGTTGTGGAATTAGATTGTGGTGACTGACGCAAAATTCTGTGATAAAATAAAAACCACTGAATTGTACATTTTGAAAAGGTGAACATTATGGTATGTGAATTATATCTCAATAAAGTTGTTGTTAAATTTTAATGAAAGAGTTGTACATGAAATTTCCTAACAACTTTATTCACGATAACCCAAAACTGAAAACAATCTAAATGTCCATCAACAGGAGAATGGATAAATAAATTGTGGTATATTCATACGATGGGATACTACTCAGCAATTAAAAAAAAGAATAAACTGATACACACGACAAAATGGATGAATCTCAAAAGCATCATTTAAATGAAAAAGGCCAGACACAAAAAAGTAGTGTACGATTTTATTTATATGAAATTCAAGAACAGGCAAAGCGAATCTAAGGTGGTAGAAATCAGAACAAAGATTGTCTCTGGGCCTTGACAGGAATGGCTAATGAGGAAACTTTCTGTATTAACGACAATGTCCCATATCTTGACTAGGGCGGTGATTATACAGGTGTATATGTTTATCAAAACTCACCTAATTATATAATTAAGATCTGTGCATTTAACCATATGTAAATCTTACCTCAATTAAAGAAAAAAATGGAAGTTTACATACTTTTTACAGTGAATGGCAGGATGTTTTCTACTTGATTCCCCAATTAAGATCCAATATTCTACTTCATGTGATGAGAGGGGGCCCCTGCTAAATACAAAACACATTCACAGTATACTTAATAAAGGTCTATTCGCTCCCTTGAGAATATTGCTTCAACTATATTTCAATAAAATATATACTAAAGTGTATTCATAATGGTATTCATTAAAGCTAGAATAGCTATTAGAGTTTAGGCTTGGGTAAACTTCTAAAGGCCTTTAAACAGAAAGCATAAATTAAATTTAGGTCTTAGTCCCCATTACAAAATCTAGGGCAAAAAAGTGGTAATAGTATGTATCTCAGATCCTAGGAGGACCAAAAAAAAAAAAAAAAAAAAACAACTTCTAGCATATTAGCTAAACGCAATTCTGCCAAAAAAATAAAGCTACAATGTTTAAAGAATGTAGGGTTGCAGCAGTCTGACTTGATGTAAGGAGAGCAAATCATCAATCTTCCCAATTTTCAGAGACTAAATATTTCTTAAAAGCTCTCAATAACACATATTCCTGGTGAAATATCGATATAAAAATATTTAAATGCTTACCTGAATGCTTTATTAGCTTTGACAGGGGTTGCTTCAAAGCCAATTGGACAAAAATAATGATTTTGGCAATGATAGATGTAAGCCAGTGATTCATCTTTCAATCCATGAGTTAATTTCGACAAGGCCCCTGAAGCTAAAAACAAAAAGGATCAAAACTGAGGGACCATAAAGCAATATCTATGCTTCACACAAAGGACTAGTTAAGGATTTACAGACGGAAAAGACATTACTTGGAATACACTGACATTATCCATTGCCGTCGAGTCAATTCCGATTCACAGCGACCCTACTGGACAGAGTAGAACTGCTCATAGGGTTGCCAAGGCTGTAAATCTTTACAGAAGCCGACTGCCCCATCTTTCTCCCACAGAGCGGCTGGTAGGTTCGAACTGCCGACCTTTCGGTTAGCAGCCGAGCTCTTAACCAGGGCTCCTTCACATTGACATTACTGGGGCAAAAACGAGAAGCTATTAAAAGATAAAAAAATAATAATAATAAATTGATTTTCAGTTTTACCCTTTAGACTGAAATTCAGATAGACTGAACAGCAAACTAAAGAACCGAAATATTTCCTTACTCACCAAGATCTTCAAATAACACACATACTTGTCTATAAAATTTAATTATCATATAAAACCCAGTACCTATTTTCTGGTTGTACACAACAGCCACTGAAAGTTTTTGAATAAGTACCTCAATATATTTACTTGTTTATAAATGATATACATATACTACTATACGACTATGTCCTTATAAAAGATATTTTAAAAGTAGGAACTTTTTAATTAGATTAAAATAAAGACATTATAATATTTTCTTCTCATGCCACAGTGATTATCTTGCACCGCCTCTAGAATGCACACACCCCAATTGGAAGACCATCGGTGTATACAGATAAATACAAATTCCAGATAATAGACAAGTTCCAAAAATGCAAACCTTTCCCACTAATACTTTAGCCTTTCAACAAAAGTTACACAGCCTAGAGGAGCAGCTTTCATGAACCAAGCAAGAGATAAGAAAATCTCTACAGAGATCCACTGGGAGTGCCACAACATCCTCTTATAACCTCTCCTTGTATAGTTCTCGTAACTATTTTCATTGTCCAGAGACCTGGTGACACCGTGGTTAAGAGCTTGGCTGCTAAACAAAAGGTCGGCAGTTCGAATCCACCAGCTGCTCCTTGGAAACCCTATGGGGCCATTCTATTCTGTCCGATAGGGCCACTATGAGTCAGAATCCACTCGATGGCAACGGGTTTTTATATTAGTTGTAAAGTTTAATTTCAGAAGTATTATCATAAGAAACAAAGTTCTACCAGCTCTTAGTACTTAAAGCCATTAACTGAGGTTTCATTAACTTCCATCTGCTGGGGGAAAGTAAATTATTCATTGACAAATAGCCCATTAAAGCTGGAAATTCTAATAATAAGTGAAGTAGATAAAAGCTCACAAATCACAGTTTTAAGAATTGACTTTCTGGGCACTGAAATAGCTGAAGACCACTAACAGCAGCACGTCTCACAGATGTAGCAGCCAGCTGAGGAGACAAGAGACCCCATAATCCCACCACACACACCCCTGACACACACAGACACAGCCTGTGATCCGCATCGAGACAGCAACATTTCTGGCTTAAACTTTCTGCAAGGTTTCAGCTACACCGTTCCCATAGACTTTTACTCCATGACCTACCACCAGGGCATCACTGCACTGCAAGCAGATCTTTGCTGCCCAAATCTCCAGTTCACAATGACAAAGGAAAAATAAGTCTTTCTGCATTTTGTTGTTGAATTCCCAAGTTAATTTAAAACCAGACACCTACAACAGAAACAAAAACAAAAAAAACAAACCTATTGACGTCAAGTCGATTCCAACACAAAGTGATCCTATAGGACTGCCTCACAGGGTTTCCAAGGAGCAGCTAGTGGATTTGAACCGCCAAAATTTTGGTTAGCAGCCAACCTCTTAACTGTGCCACCAGGGCTCCTGACACCCAAGGGCAGCTCTAAATTCTAGAATAGTAGTTCCTAAATCAACTCTTTCCAGGGTCCGTGTAGTATTTCATTAGATTCCATTAATGGATAAATTTTATTACTTTTGTAATTAGAGTGAATTTGTATATCTGATGTTTCTTCTAGATCGAATGCTTCCTTGATATCAGCTTTTCTTTCATATTATAATTTATCTGGGATCTCTTGCGTCCTCTGATTTCTTTTAATTTTACTGACCCTTCTCACAGACCCTCCCACTCCATCTAGATGCCAGTGATGCTAATACAACAAGTTATAAACTGCTCCAATGAAATCCTTTATGATCGGAAGGCAATGAGACGAGCATGTAAAAGGAATTATGAGCATTGGGCTGTCTGCGGATGTTGTCTCCCAGGGTCCTACTCTAATGCAGTCTCAGGACACAAACCTCGAAACTGTATAGTAGTTTGCCATTGCAATGTGTGGTTAATCACCTCCGTTGACTCTCTACCCGGAGGCATACATTTTGGTCTAAACATCCACGCTCCATTAAAGTTTATAAAAAAGAAGTCCCTATGAATCAGTAAAAATTATCCTGAAAAGTTCTTAATCACTTGCTGAACACTTAGAATGTAGAAGACAATGTTCAAGGTACTGCTAACATAAAGCTGAATAAAAACTCACTTCCTATCCTTAGGAA